AGTTTTATTTGTTTTTTTTTTAGAATTATGAATGGGTATGGTGTATATTTTATCACAAATTTATCCTTCATCTTGTCCTCCTATAGCATCGTTTAATTGGTTTTCCTTGGTTAGTATTTCTGTTGTTTAGAATGTTTTTTTCACTTTTCACACAAATATTCTTGTAAAGTATTTATGTGTAACCATATAGTTTGAAATGTATTACACTATAGCACACATCACATGATTTTTAAAACATTTTTCTTCACTAATTGAATTTATCAATAAAAGACCTATTTCAATAGTTATGTTTTCTTGTAGTTATATTTAACTATTACTGTACAATTCGGTAAGAGTGATACATAGAGAAAAAGGGAACAGTGAAATCTAAAAAAAATTAAATGAATAGATTAGAATATTTATATGTTTTATTATGTACTTCTGCACAAAGTTTCAGTTTTTTGTGTAAGACAAAAACATATTGTTGCTGAGTAGTTCTTTATTCTTGTCGCCTGTCATCAATATTTCGCACAATCCCTAATGGATAGAAGATCTTCAGTAGATACACCGTAAATGTCAAATAAAAAAACAGTAAATTGATGAAATAGATATTGAACAGTTTATTATTATCTGGATCTTTTCTGATTTAAGCTAAAATATAGCAGAATAGCTAATCATTTAACTGATGAAACAAACCTTGTTTTATAAGCGGAATAAAAATAAACCGAAATAATGCGGTCGAACAACCGTTGATAGAAGTTACCGTTTGTATTATTTTCTTATCGGTCAGTATAGATAACAAAACACTTGATGATTTCATGGAAGCTAAAAACTACATTTGTCAGTTTCAACTGGATTTAAAGTCCTATAGTCTCAACTATGTGTATAAAGTTATTCAAATAATACTTTTTTTTCCAATCATTCACACATGTACTCATAACATCCAAAATACCTCCAATGATTATTGTACTTCGAGATGAAATAAATGTTATTGTTTCTAAGGAAAATTAACTAAAGTCAGGTTGGATATCAGAGAATTTATGAAGGAAATAAATCGAAGTCAAAATAGTGTGATTGGAATCATAATAGATAAAAGTTCGAAAATTTCAGTTAAAGTAAAATCCTTCTGTAAAAGTCATTAGTAAAAATGATAGAACATAATGAATATAACAATTTTTTCAGTTTTAAAGAAATCATTTAAGACACTTAACTTACTAAGTCTGATCATAGAAGACTACCCATAAGGTTGAAACGTTTAATATTGATTTTATGTTTTACTTCGTTTACTTATCAATTTCTTCTTGATCATTTAAATTAACATCTCAGTAGCCATGTTTACAAAAGTATAATGAAGCATTTCAATTGATTTGATAGTCATATGTAGTGTCAAAAGAATATCTACTTGAGCAATATATAATTTTGAAGATATCTGAATTTTCGCTTAAATCTAAATGTATTCTTCTATACTTAATTGAATTATATGAATATTTGTCGTTCATTGATGTAATGTTATGCTGTGCTTAATAAAAGTAACATATTTGATTTCGTCCCAGCAAATCAGTACTTTACATTTTGCCTTTTTATTCCTATTGACGTTTTTAATTTCAGAAAGCACAAAATATCACATACTTCTCCATTTCTTCCATAAACATTCAAGTGATAACAATACTGATGATGTAACGTTATGAAGATATTATAATGAAGTTATGTAACTCTTATGCGTATACACATATTGACAATAGAGTTTTTGTGTAATTAAAACCACGTTATTGCTGATAATGTTATAACATACACAATGAAATATGTTTAACCATACAAGAAATCCTGCATACGATCAGCGATGAGGTTTTAGGTTAACAATGAAAAGGGATAATTTATTAAAACGAAATAGCTACCTGTTTTACAACAATCATCTACATAAATTTGGTTGACAAACCTTTTATTGCAAACTACGAAATTTGGTGATTAACAATCGTTGATACAGTTAACTAAAAGTAAGTATTAACTAAGTTATTTACATATTGTAGATTTGAACTAATTTGCAGAAGAACAAATTTTATTTTGATAGAGTTTTGTTCTCTGAGTTGGGTAGTTTGGTCGTGGAGCTTTCATCGTTCTTCTGAACGACATCATCAGCACAAACTTCAGACAGAAGTGAAGTATTCGAATTTCTCCATATGCGTTTCACAGCTTGTTCTGTACACTTCAATGTTGATTGGTTCTTATTGACCTTAAATTTGTCATTGTTTACTTCTCCACCATCTCAACAAATTTTATCCATATAACATTCATTAAATATACTACTATTATCGAATTATCAGTTGAACATGAATATCCAATCTTGTTCAACTGAAATAGTCAATCATCAAAACAACAGATCAACCAACTTTTATCAATGAAAAGAGATGATACCATCATTGTAAACATAAATAAACAAATATACATACATAAATGAGAGAAGGAAGAATCTCCAATAGATTTTTGTCTGTTTAAATAAATCATTGAAAATGATCCATTTTTTTGGTGAAAATGAAATTAAGCTTTACTCATTACAGACTAGACAGTAAATATGTAGGTAACAAAGAGAAAAAGAATCAATCTTTGTATACATATTTAATCAGTTGTCCACTTCATCTAGACTATTTCTTTCAGTGAATAAACTTTATTAAATAAATATTTTTTTAAAATAAGAAGGAGGATTGTACAAATAAAAGAAAATAAATGAAATCCTTCAAATATAAAAGGATAGAAATTTTGTTTTTCCCCATTGTAGGAAAGTAATCTGATGAATAAAATTGCGATTAATTTTATATGAGATCATAAAATGTTTGTTTGTTTTGTGTTTGTTCTCCCGTTAAATTTTCGTAAATACTTGAAAGATTTAATATCCTTGAATGCTATTACGAGTTCACCTTACTCGGTAAACGGAACAAAGGTCAAAGATACAATGTCAAGATAGGCTATTCTATTCCGTTGTCCCTGACCTTGCTAACAAGATCAAGAAGTCTTGATAAGGCGTAGAGAATGTATTTTACAAGCACTCAGAACATACGAGTTCACTAAGCACACAAGTCAAGCTTCTTTATACGATGATAGGAACAAACTTGGGTGAGCCACAAAATAACGTACTAAAAAAAGCGTCAACCAATGATAGACAACGATCTCTGAATAGGAAATGTAAGCTGTAGGTCAACTAAGCGTCTCTTATCGCAAAAACATACAATTCAAATTTTCATAATAAAGTTATAAAATTAGGACCTTTTCCAAGTGAGCTCTGGGAATCTAACGTTCTCAGAAAGATTGTGTAGGAATTATTGAACAAGTCTTCGCAATAAAAAAAGACAGGGAAAAGTAGTGTATCAGAAAAGTACCTATAAAATGACATAAATAATATCTAAACAGAATCACCTTTAATGGCAGTGACTTAATTATGAATAATGAATGGATATATAAATAATCATTTATTTCATGTCAAACTTCTCATTATGTATATACTCATAGTTTTATACACTTGGTTATGGAATGTTTCACAATTTGATTGTGACTAAAATTAGGATGTTACACAGATCAGTTCAAAAATCACTCAAAGGTGATGAAATGTAATTTCATTTTAGAAAAGTGGACTTGTTTTTAAAGTCTGTGATGTTGATACTGTACACGTTACATAAACTGATTCTAGTATGCTTCAAAATTGTATTAAGTCCAAGCGCACTGGAATTAATATGTGTGTCTAATTCTCTTAAGTTAGCAAAACTATATGCTTATGTGAAGATAAGTGAAAACTGAAATTATACCAGTCTATAAAACTGTTGCAGACTATATCATAAATATTTCTATGTAAAACACATTTACATACGGACTGAAAGCAATTATAAGAAAGTTAAGTTAAATCCACAAATCCCAAAGCTTGTAACGTCTCGAAGAATCGAACTGTTACTCAGACAAATAAACTAAGAAATACAACAGTTCGTACGAGCCTAATGATTCATTATAACTAACAGAGTCATACACTGAAATGTTTCTTAGCACAGTTGCTTATACATATATTCTTATCCGACTTGAATACAATTAATATTCAAAGGAATTGAAAATATATCATATCTGTAAGCATTAAATTATAGGTGTTTTATATTTCAATTAACAAAAGTTATTTAGGCTCATTTTGAATGTTTATTTGAAAAAACTTTCCTCGCATATACTAAAGAAACTAGTGATCTAACTAGTTAGCCTCATACATATATCCCCTTGATGAGGGATACTGTAAATAACTTAGACGAACGAGTCACAAAACAAGTAATTCAAACTGCTGTCTGATATCTAGTCACTAGTATTATTAGATTTCACGTTTTGATTATTATAACTAATATGGTCAATTTAGAAATATAATCATTTTTTCAGTATACGGACTATAGGAAAATTCCCAGCCTATGTTGATACTTTATTTTACATCAAATACTTCTAGTTAAATTACAGTTTTTCAGTGAATAGATGGCATCCCTATGTAAGAAAATAAAGGTATATATGTGGCACTTATATTGTCGCACACTTTTCTTCTTTCTCAATGTTATTGATTTACCGGTGTAATAATTTATACATTTTAGACAATGTCAAAATGTATTGCCCCAATAAATCGCATAATTTTGATAAACTTCGTCTTCTCACTTCATTATTTAAATTCTTTTGACACTTCGTCAGTTTCAAACTAACAGAGTTGCAATGTAGTGAAGGAGAACGAAGGTGAGAACAACCGAACTATATTTAGCACAACATTGCAGAGTTACTTGTTAAAATAGAAAAACCATACTATAATACCTGATTTGCAAAATGTTCAGTAATTGTCTCGGACTTCATTGTTCTTGAATTTCTATACTAATTGCTTTCTATCCCCGTTCTTTCCTTCTTGATCTTCCCAATCTTCTGCTGTCAGACATTACATTCCTGACTCGCGTTGTATACTACTTGTGTAAATATAAGTAGCACGTACCACAGTAATACTTATCATAGGTTGACATACAGTTGATTTATTTCAGTTGAAAAAGAGAGTATAAATGAGTTTCCTAAAATATATGGACAAACAGTTCACATCTTGCAACGTTGATATTAGCATAAATATTATTAAAGAGAAACTAATGTATAGTTAGTACTCAATAGATTTTATATTTTTCTTCATTATCCATTCTATCACAAATAGAAAATGAACAGATTCTTGTCGAATGGTGACTTGGAATATAAGTAAATAAAGTTGTTTACAGATAAAACAAATTGCTCTGAAAGTACAAACAAATAAATCACCTTCGAAAAAACAATCGATTCATTTCAAAATGCTTTTTCTATTGCTAACTACATAAAATATGTACCTGATCAATAAATTGCAATTGGTGTAATTTATTTAAATATAAAAAACTGGAAAGTTATTATCCCCATAAATAATACTTAAATAGGTATAATGCACTATGGAAATTATTGCTTGAATCAGTTGTAATGATTCAGACATTATTTTATGATACATTTCCGAAGTGATATCGAAAGTCTGGAGGTTAAGTGTTCAGGAGAGACTGAGGGTCCTGGGTTTGAGTCCTGCGTGCGGAGTTGTGGATGTACACTGCTGAGAAGTCATATACTCGAACGGAACGGCTGTTCAATGCTCCCAGGTTTCCATCGATGGTCTAACATTGATCTGTTCAGGATTTCAATGGTATCGAATGTAATTAGAATAAAATAAAATAAAACAGTAGAATGCAAAGAATTCATAGTGCTGGAGACTTCTGGATTCAAAACCAATGGATACTTGAGCAAACAACTGTTTTCAGTAACTTCGCCATTGAGCTTTATTGTCATAACAAAAATAATTATTGTATTATAATAAAATGAAAGACCAAAATAAGGCATGCTAGTGGACTAAACAGCGTCATATATCAAAAACTAGTGAATTTTCGTATCTGTTAAGGTAAAAGTCCTTTAAAAATGTGTCATTTGCAAATCAATAAAGTCATTTACAGAAGGTCAAAATGATCTTTTGTAAGGTGTCAAATTATAATCAATGTAACTTTAGTAAAATGAATTTTGTGAATAAAAAGAATAGCAAGAGAATTTTGTCTGGCTTATGGAAGTAGTATCAATAGCGATAGTTTTAATAGTAATGATAACGTTGCTTGAATCTTATATGCAGTGAAGAAAATGTCGTTAAGGTGATTACGTTCAGCGTAGGTGTATGGTGGTCTACTTGTGGACCTAGGTAAACACAAAGGCTTTGTCTAAATTTCGTTTTTTAATGGGATATAGCCGGTGATATTTTATTCTCACAACGTTGTTATTGTTATCTCCATTATCCAGACAAAATCGCCTCGCTATCCGTTTCATTTACATGATTTATTTTATTAATGTTATATTAAATAACGAAATTGACACAGTGTTCCACTGAAGAAGAACTAAGACAATTCAGTGAAGAAAATTGATTTCATCAAGTGCTACATTCGTGTTTATACTTAATTTATTTGCTAAAATAGAAGTCTACAGTAAAATAGAATGGCGATCAATAATACAAAAAACTTGAAGTACTCCCTTGTAATGAATTGCTTACGAAAATCAAATATCGAAAGGAAGTTATGCAATTATCGACAAATGAAGACGTGTTAATGTAGACATAATTGTCCACGTGATAGCTATTAAGAACAAAATAATTAAAACTTGTAATAATCGCTAATTAATAATTGTGAAAATAATCGAAAAGTAGAAATAATAAAGCAAAATAAAAAACGATGAGTAGTAGATGATAAAAAGAAGGTTAAGATAATGGAAGAATGAGGGACTGAAGATTGGGCTTGAACTAGTGGATAGCCATAGCATTTCCAGTACATAAGTTTTTCATTTGCATTCATATTGATCCTAGTCTTCTGTCTGTATGTATGATTTTAAAGGAGGCTTCTGGTGAAGCGGAGTGGTCAGAATTAACTATGTCCCAAGATTGAACATTTGACTGGCTTCTGTTATCCCTTAGAAAACCAAGGAAAGTAATTTCGGAGATGCGTTTCGAAAGAGCTCGCTCTGTGCGCCCTATCTAGTCTGTTGCATATGAGCAAATAAACTGATAGACGCACATTGATAAAGTTCAAAGCGGGAGTTTATTATCCACGCAACTACGAATCATAGGCTTACTAGAAAAGATAATACGATGTTCAGCTCGATAGAATGTTTTTCTCCGAGATCTTGAAAGTCTGTGTTTCAGAATTCTTTGATTCTGTGGATACTCTTTCGCGCTATTACTTCAGCTTCAGACTTTTCTCAGTCACTCTAGAGAGATATACACTGTTGATCAATATCTGCCATAGTTTATCTATCGTATCTGCGGTACATATTTGTTTTGCCCTCATGCGGAGAGAATGGATTAGGTCTCATTTCTGCTTCAGTAGTACTCAACTTTGGAAGACTTCAACTATATATAGCAGTCGTAATATAGCTCCTTTAGACATATTGTCTGAAACTTGAAGCAAGGCCAAGAAAACTTCATCTACTTCAATATGATGTAAACTGTCTCTCAGGTGAGAAAAGACCTTTCTAATTCACAAATAACACTATCTTGAAGTATTTATTTTATAACAGGTGAAAAATTTCATCTAAAAAAACTTTGTTAAATTCATTAATGGATGCTTTATTCGGGCCTTTTTACAGTATCACAATAATTATGAATTTATAACTATAAATGTTTTTTATGTTTTTAACTCTTAGCTATCATACGAATAAACAAACTTGTTGTAACACTGTTCATGAAATATCCAACCTCGTGGAAGATTTAAAAATTTATGTTTTATTACTACATTGTGTTCAACTTTGTTATTGCTAATGATGTTCTATTGGATTTGATCTTACTAGGGATAGAAAAAACATCCCTATAGCCACCGAATTAACCATTTATATACTTCATAAAAGTTGTGTCACGTAAATATGTAGTGCATGCCATATATGGTGATCGATATCAGTAGTACGTAGCTGTAATCGGAAGTGGAATGCCTGCCAGCAGAAGACTGAAATGAAGGGAACAGGAATATAGAAAGTAATTGTAATAACAACAGAATAGTGAGAATTATGAAGAATGTAAAGGACAAGTGAAGGAAGATGGGCAAATAGTGTATTTAATGTATAAATCTTCATATTTTTTTGAAAACGTAATTTTTCATTGGTCAATCGACCAATCAACGTCCAGGTGTACAGAACAAGCTGTGAAACGCATATGGAGAAATTCGAATACTTCACTTCTGTCTGAAGTTTGTGCTGATGATGTCGTTCAGAAGAACGATGAAAACTCCACAACCAAACCATCCAACTCAGAGAACAAAACTTCATCAAAATCTTCCACCTGAGCTACAAATCTTCTCCACCATCTCAGACAACCAATCATTGTCATTCTCTCCCACACATCAGATAGTTACCCGGACTTAAGCAAGTAGTCCAATAATCAATGCAGCCGAAAACTATAAATGCTCATTTTATAATAAGTGAAAAGAATAACGGTTATTTGTGATTACTGTTGAGAGGACTGTTTGTATTGACGCATTTATTCCCAAGCATATAATATGAAACAACAAAATGTATGATTTCAAGTATACTTGATTTATCAAACAAATATTGTAAACCGCTTATTGTTTCAAAGATAGTCGGTTTATGACTCAACAACTGTCTTCACCCACAATTAAGCACAGAATCGATTCAGGCTCGTTCAAGTTCAATGGTCAGAACAGTACATTTGAACTTTCGAGACGAAAGCCATTTATCTGTTTTTTCTCCATCCCAGTTACGGTAACGTGCTTGAATATTACGGTCATACAAGTCAGGGTTAAAGATAGAATCTTATGTGTCTTGCTGAAGGTTATCTTAAATCAAAAAGTGACTAAAAGGGAAGTTGTGGATAAAATAGCTGTTTAATGATGCTTAATTTTGAATAGTACTCTGGTTAATATAAACAAAGTATTTGACATTCTCAATTCATCAAGAAAATAAAAAAAATCAATTTAATACCACTTTATGGGATGAATCTAGTAAATACTGGTTTCTGAAATATAAACTGATCATAATTTCAACATAAATTGATGGTGATTTTATATTGAATCACTTAATTTGACTAATATACATACACTTTTCTGTGTTTATGACTTAAAACCTATTTTAGTCAAATATTATTGTCATCGATAATTTTTATTCACATTTTTTTGTATTACTATTATTACTACTATCATGATTATTCTATTTCAATATCACTAATCACCTTCTAAATACTTGAATAGTTTAGTTAACACACACCCTAGTTTATTATTTCTTACTGAATTTATATCTCTTCTTACATTATATTATCTTCCGCCAAAGGTTCAGTCCAATTTGTAATTGCATTATTATTTCTATCCTTACATTATGTCTATCTAATATTTATCCTGATTATTAATCTCTTAATTTTATATCACTTAGAAACTAATTCAAGTTATTGCTAATAGCTTTATTCTCTTTTACAAATAATGTTGTTATAATATTAAACAATGTATTTTACCTTAAAACTGGCCAATTTTTCTGAGGCAGGGAGGGGTAATTCATTTGGATATGATAATTGTAGGATCTGCAGAGACTAATAAAAATGATATTCTTCGTTGATATATATATATATACGGTGTTTTATAATGATAGGGATTAATAAACAATTAAATACATATGATATATACATTTTTTTTCGATAAATCCTAATGACTAAACAAATGATCTAACTTTTAAGAGGATGGTATTTACCAAAACTAATTGAACCAGTTTCTTTTTTCAATACAAAAAACATTATGCTTTAGGATTAAACATTAAGAAGATGAGAATTATATTGTTTATTTTATAATACCCTATCATATTACTGTGTATAATGATAATAGTAATGTAAAACTACGCTAGACGAATAAAAGAAAAAAGGATCATTCTAACTAGTTTCTTCTAAAATTTTCAAATTGTAGACTGTTATATTAATCATAGTATAAGTAGGTTGTTCATCAATTTTCAAAAGTTATGAAGATATAAGTGAAAATGATTCTAGAAAATTAACTAATAAGAGAATTGAAGCTATAAAAAATCTTAGAAAAAATCAATTTTCTTTAGCTCTATCTAAATTAATTGTAGGTGTTTTAAAATAATGAAAACGTATTCTGTGGATGTAAATCTAATTAAATACTCAAGAATGAGATGAATGCTATCTTTGAATCACTTATTGATATCAAAGTCAAACCAATCTTTGATATAGGTTAAAGAGGATATCAGCTTATAGCATTTGTTGTTACATCAGAGTACGATATATTGTAGAAACAAAAGTTATTCTTCTCAAGGTAAACTTCTTTGAAAAAACGTGTCGTTTACATATATTTATTTTAGAATGCGGTTTTGTGGAGATTTTAGTATGTTCAATAGTTGAAATCATGAGTCAGTTGAAGCTAGACCACCATAAAAAGCCTGGAAGCACTGGACGGTCGTTTCGTCCTAGTATGTGACTCCTCAGCAGTGCGCATCCACGATCCCGCTCATGGGTTTCGAACTCAGCGCAAACTCTTAACCTACTGGACCACTGAGCCGGCATCCAAAAGTGTTGATGTCTAACTTTAATTCACGAGACTGCGCCACCGCGGATGAGCACTGCTGAGGAGTCACATACTAGGACGAAACGACCGTCCAGTGCTTCCAGGCTTTTAATGGTGGTCTAGCTTCAACTGACTCATGATTTAAACTATTGATACATTTTCTTGTTAACGTCTTCATCAACTTTCATTTGTTATTCGAAAAGCTTCGTTCTCAATGTTACATAGAATTTCAAATACATTTCATTAGTCTACCCTATATATATATCGTTCGTAGAAGAAATTCCTATTGAGACAATTCACAATATTGACTTCGGTAGTGAAAATATTAAACTTATGGTATTTGTTCATATTTATGCATACTTTAAATGATAATTATAAATAATCATTTTAAAATCCCTCATTCATTAACTTTAGTATATTTTATTGATTTCAATAAATAATCTTATTCTGGGTATCTAGAGGACTATATATAATCAATAATGGTATTATTCTAATGTCAAAAACAAAAAAAACAGAGAAAAAAATGTATTTAATATGTATTTAATTCGTGTAATCTGCTAGATTGAAAGTACTTTTGGTTCAACAAAAAAAAAGAAAGAAAAATAAAAACTATATTTACATCAATCTTAATGAATACAATTTAATCTGATAGATAAAGGTATGGAAGATTCATTTTTTTATAAATACAATATGAAACAAATTCATTGATACTTTTGAACTCTTGTCTTATATGTTGATCAGTATAGATTCAAATGGTTATTTACAGAAAGTATACTCTTTAATAGATGACCATTTCATTTATCATTGATATTATACGGATATAATATAAACAAATCAGTTAATTAATTAAAAAACAGAAGCTAACAAAGAAGAGATGTTCAATGGTTAATACATATTAATGTATAGATAATAAGTGTTATAGTTAAATAATTATAACTTATTAAATAAGCATAATTTTTTACCGATTTAATTGGACTTGCTTTAATCTGATGCAAATTATTTATAACAGTTTGTTTTCTTATATTCATTTCATCTATATTTTCATCATTATTAATTAAATTTGTCATTTGTAATGATTCTAAATGTTTTGATAATCTTGTTTCATAATTAAATGTACAACCATCCGGTAATGTCTCTTTAAAATAATTCATTATTAATCGTACTGCATTGGATGGACATGCATTATGTAATATATTATATAAACAATCTAATTTTGTTCGTAGAGATCTAAACGTTCAAAACAAAAAGAAAAAAAAGAAAGAACGAATATTTAATTTAATAAGAAAAATGGAAACATGAATGAAACATTATGATATTGAATGTTTAATAAGTTTGCATGTCGATAAAATGAATGTTCAATGTTATATGATTGTGTATGTTATTTCATCAAAGAATATTTAACTTTGCCCTTGATTAACATCAAACTTTATTTCAATAAGATGAAGAAATTAGATTTATCTAGTTAGTAAATACAAATGTGTCTTATTGTATTGCTACTTTTGATGATTATATTTAAAACTGTACATTTATACCAGCATCGTTGTATTATCGAAAAGCTAGCAGGCAAGCGAGCGAAAGAGCGAGCTAGTGAGTCAGCGAATATGAGTACGAATAAGCAAGTATAATGAACATGAACAAATTGTACATATATATATATATATATATATATATATATATATATATATATATATATATATATATATATATATAGTGAAATGAATGAATCATTGAATCAATTAAGCAACTAATAGTAAGGCTAGCAAAGTGAATAAATGCATAAGCAGTAAGCAAATGCTCAGGTACACATATTCATACAAGTGTAATAATAATAAAGGTACAATGGTATAGATAAGCTATTATTGTACGAATGACTCTGTTCATTAAATAAGTTAACAAAAAAAGCTTGACCAAATTAAATGTGAACATACTCATTTACACGTGAGCTAACTCAAGGTTTTAAATTTAATTTTATGCTCATGAACAAAATACTAATCTACATTTTTATATTGACACATTAGTGGGATAACATTTTTATTTTTATTTTAATGGTTAAGATCATGAGCCAATTGAAGCTAGACCAACATGGAAAACCTGGAAGCACTGGACGGCCGTTTCATCCGATTGTGGGACTCCTCAGCAGTGCGCAACCATGACCTTGGCCCTGAGAGATTCGAACCCAGGACCTACTGGTTTCGCGCGGGAGCACTTAACAACTAGACCACTGAGCCTGCATCCAACGGTGTTAATGTCTAACTTCAAATATACAATCATATTTACATGAGTAATATGAAATTAAAAGACTAGTCCAAATACTGGTCTTTTAATATGATGGGGATCTTTAAACGATTAATATGACTTTAATAAACTAATCAAAACAATTTATGAGTAAGGGATAATAGGGTAATAGATTATACAAATAAACAATATTATCAGAAGGGATTTCGTGGAGATTTCAGAAAATTTATTGGTTGAAATCACGAGTCAATTGAAGCTAGACCACCATGGAAAACCTGGAACCACTAGACAGTCGTTTCGTCCTAGTATGGGAATCCTCAACAGTTCGTGTCCACGATCCCACACCCCACGAGATTCGAACCCAGTGTGATCAGATCGTTCGAAATCTATTGCACTAATATATCACATAGTTCTGTTAATCTGTTAATCTTATTACACTATACAAATTAATCAAATGGATTTATTACTTTAAACAAATCGAAAGTTCAAAGTGATAATGTGATGACAGGTATACTAGATGTGATAAGAAGAACCAAGAATTTAATCATTGTTTCGTAATAGGAAGTAGGTTAGCAACTTGGAAAAATAGACATGAAATAATATTCATTAGAAATCATTAATCAGTATGAGGTGTTCATATAATTAGACGTTAAAGCATTTATTAAAAAATGGAGTCAATAAGAGTAAACAAACAGTGTGGAAAATAACAATAAATAAAATTGTCTGTTAGGGTTGATGCGGCCAAGAAAGAGATAAGAGTGTAACAAATTTCAAATAAACGCAAATATTCAGGTTATTAGCTGGCATCTCTATAGCTTCTGTTGTGTAAGAGATGAGGTCGAACCCCATAAGGAAAATTGATGGGTATACGATAAGTTACCTCAAATGACCTACTTCTGTTTATTAGATGTCTGCTACTGATTACGTGTGACAGAACGAAGCTACATTTTGTTTTATTTGTATCCTTTCTCAATCACGAAGGGAGGCGATCACTAACATGTTGACTCAGTAGTTTGGTTGTAAGCCCAATATAGTTTTCTGCCCAGTAGCAGCTGAATAAGCAGATACATATGGGTGTGGTAAAACAAGGTAACGTATCCTTTAGAATCACCACAACTCGGATAGAAAATGATACACAGGGGCTAGTTGCATTAGACATCCCTCTTCATGACGTCGTGTGAGTCTGTCTCCCTAGCTCTACATACAAGGTATCTAACTAGGTTTCTTCTATAATGAATGTGTACAAGGCTCAAAAATATATATGCTGATTTACCCAATAAAGTTTTCTATGCTCACTTCTATTGACGGAATCCTTTTCTTTGTAAAACGTCAAGAAAACGTAATTTGTCATCAATTTTCTCAAATCACAAAAGTTTGATTGTTTAATGTTTATTGCTAAGTAGTTGTAAAAGTTCTTATTCACTTTTTACATTATTCTAATGAAATTTAATTAACATTATTCACTGTCTATTTTTCCAAGTTGTTAACCTACTTCCTAATATAAGACATTGATTCATGTCCTGGTTCTTCTTATCAAATTGAGTACACCTGTCATTACACTATCAATTTAGACTTATTGTTTATTCATGTAATCTATTCCCATGTTAACACTTAGAAATCGCCTTGATTGGTTTAGTAATTGCATAAATGCATATTTATATTATTGTATATTAGAGTAATGCATGATGAGGATCTTATTCAAAACAATATTGTTCGCTTATATATGTTATTCTAATTCATAATATGGTAATTTTCAGTAATTTAATTTTGTCAAAAATATATTTTTGTTTTGAACTATAGAACGATCAATCAATTGCTTTCACGTGTTATACAGCATATAGTTGGAAAAAAATAAGTTATTCTACATTTTGTTTGTTTTTGTCAAATAGTTTATTATAACGGATGGGTAGAAATAGTCAGTTCAATTTAAAACTCTATCCGACTAGTGTTCAGGTTTCACACTTTTTCGGTTCATTTATTAAGTAAAGAACAAACAAGTATTAGTATATTTAAAATAATCTAATCAATAGAAAATCGAGTTCCTGATGTTTTATGACTTTATGTAAATTGTTCCTCCATGTGATGAATAGTCTTTCATAAATTACCGCAAGTATTATTAATTCCAGGTATCAAGTTCATTCAGACATTCAACATATACATATATTATTTCATTCAGGCCAATTTTGGTTCATCCAGCGGTATATTTGTATGAAAAATAGAACAAGTAAATATATATTATCTAATCGTGTTCATCATATGAGATCGTAAAAAGCTAAATTTAAGAAATCCGCAATGAACATCCAAAAAAATTAACTGAATTTGATAAAGCAATTGCTTAGCATAACTACAGATGTACTAAATGTAAAGCTTGCAGAAAACTTTACTACGAACAAATATTCCCTCAAATATGCTTTGTTATTTAATGTGATAGTTAAGACAGAAAATCCTATTTGGAAGGATAGTCAAGTGTTTACTACACTTATATATATATATATATATATATATATATATATATATATATATATATATATATATATATATATATATATATATATATATATATATATATATATATATATATACGTAACTGTCAAGATTAACAGAAAACAAGAATATACAGCTTCAACTACTTAACTTTGGATTATAATTATACCTTGAGATGTATAATCCTGTAATAGGTATGATTACCCTTGGAGATCAATTTCATAACATATATTTAATAAGATATTCAACAAATAATTCGAATTGTAGGAATCTTTAAATATACGTATAGTAGCTCAAAGCTGAATAGATAATGACTTTAAAAATCAATTATTTTGACAGGGTTATCAATATTTTCTTATTTAATTTTTTTGTTTTGTTTTAATGAATCAGTTGCTAAAGGAAACATTTATTGATCAAATAATACTTCAACAATTGAAAGGAAATTAATCTTTTCATCTAAAATTTCATAATTGTTTTATAAATGTACAATGCTCACTAGTGGCTAGCTCAGTGAGGGAATTCTCGGAGTTCTGGTGAGAAGTCGTGATCAATGGAACTAATCCGTGTCGGGTAGAGACAGGTATCTGCCTCAGTACAATGGAAGATGGTCGCGCAATTTCATGGATTGGTTGGGGTTAGACATTAACACCATTGGATGCCGCTCATTGATCTAGTAGGTTGAGCGTTCGCGCGCGGGACTGAAGGCCCTTGGTTCGAATCCCGCGAGCGGGGTCGTGGATGCACACTGCTGAGTAGTCCCACAATAGAACGAAACGGCCGTCCAGTGCTTCCAGGTTTTCAATGGTGGTCTAACATTAATCGGCTTATGATCTCAATCAATAACAATTAAAATTGTTTATTTATTCATATAAAACTTATTTTATCACTGAATTCAACATCTGACCAAGGTTCTTTTTTTTGTATTTTCGCGTGACAATTACAAATGACAATTACGTGATATGGTAATAAATAAAAAAATTATCTTAACCAAATATTTTATATTTTGTCAGTAGTAGATAAAAAAGATATAAAAATGATTAATTTTAGAGATTTGGGAAGTGATTCTCAGTCTAAAAATTCAATAGATATGCAATTCATCACCTAGCTTTAACTAAATAAAATACCAGTTTATTGAAATAAAGACATATAACTTAAGTGAAATAAAGATAAAACGGCATAATGTAGTTGAGTGATATTAAAAATACGTGTTCATTGATAGCAAGAATATCTTAGAAGAAGTTATTCATAAAACATTATTATAGAAACAGATCAATTCCACGGAACGAGCTGTTATCCACTTCTCTTTGAAGTGTGTGTTGTAGAAAAATACAATCAAACCTATACGAACTAATTTCCTAACTTCGAGGTGCGAACATATCGTACAAAATCTTCGTGTATTTTATACTATTTCTTACACTTATTATGTGTTTTAATAATTATTATTCGTTGGAATAGTTTTCTCACAGTGTAAGCGTTTGTAAAATGTACTGTACCTTCATACGTTGAGTAATATTCAAGCATTTTAGAAGTTTGTAAATTAGGTCGAAAGACTGTAGATTATTGTGATTATGGGCTCTCTTAAATTATTATAAATCATATTTTATGAAAATAATCTTCCCAACACACCTTGGTGTACTAATATTTTAATTTAATAATGGGTAACTGTTTATTACATATGAAAACAATAAGAGACCAGATCTAAATGTTTGATCCTAGTTTGTATGATTATAATTTGTCATATTGTCATCACTAATAACTTAATATTTTTAATAATGATATTAACTATGATCGTTGAGAACTCAGATGCTCAAAACACTGTCAGTAGGGATTTGAACAATCTCTTAGATGATATCCAGCTGATCGGTCCCTAATAGGATGAAGTGAGCGTACTGGGTTCCACTGTTAGCCGAAACCCACTTTTTTTAGAAATGCAGATGGAATTGGTCAAAAATTACATCAACAGAGAAACCAATGTAAACCGAGGCTGGATACTATATAATGAACATACAATTAATACTTATCGATGACAGAAGCCATTTGACACGGAAACAATTTCCCCGGATTGTCTGATAACAAAAGTAAGGGTGGAGAAATTACTTAGGTTTTACGCAGTTAAAGCGAAAAGTATTCTTTAAAGTGTGGCTTTGGAAGTGACGTCACAGAGAGTTTTCTTAGAATTAACGGAATTTATCTCCTACTTCACAATATCTCAAACGAACGCTTGCACTGAAATAATAATGGCAAAACTTTTTAAGAGTTCATAGTTAATCAGACAGTAAGATGACCACAGTGATTTAATCATGACGTTTTTAAACGATTTTATAGATCGGAATGCGTGACAAACAGACGATTTTCCAACATTGTTTCAACCTACCTCGTATTTATTCTACCCTTTTATTTCTAATCAATTTAGATGCTTTTCTGTAGACGAACTTTCATTTCCTTTCGTATAAAGGAGCGTTGTTTATAAATTACTATTGGTAGCCGAATCGTCACATATATGAGCACTTATGTTATGTTTTTCTGTTTTTCTAACACAGATCCATCTTTCCTTATAATGCTTGTGAATTAACGCGATATAGAGGCGATATGCATAGTATGTACATATGCCACTAAGAGACTGAATAATTGCAGTCCTTAACATCAATAGGAAGATTCAAGCAAACAGTTCCAAGTGAATTTAAACTTCACCCATTGCACAAGCAAGTAACTATCAAGACTCTGTAGAAAAGTGTATAACGCGAACGGTATGGAACCGAGCCCCGGAGTGAACGTCAACTCTGAGATGTAGGTATATCCAGCTGACGAGTTCTAAAGAGGATTAAACGTGCACCCTTGATTTTACTGTTAGCTGCCATCCATATTTAGTTATACTGGATTTCATAAAGCTTATATTTTTATTTAGAACACCAGAATTATTTCGATAATGTAATGAAAAGACAAAGTTTATCAGAATTATTAACTAAATACTTTTCTCATATATTCACCAATTCGAAATTTAATTGAAATCTGTGTTAAGCTCTTTTGTGATGTTAATTTAGCTACAGACGAAATTTATGGAAGTGTGATGTTTTAATTCTTGAGAACAAACTTTCAATTGATGGAATAAATTTCTGGCTTATGAATGTTTTAAAAGCTCACGTTGTCTATCCTCGATTCCAGCAGGTTTTACACAGTAATTTATTGATTGCTTGGACAGCTCTAAGAAAAGATAACGTCTACTGAACCAGAATAACTTTTCTAAATACTGAGGATACGGTTTTAGGGGTATGACCTAAATAGAAGTTTTGTTTTATCTTTTGGATAATCAGGTTACCGGTGCATTCATTTTCCCTAGTATTATGTTTTTATGAGACCATTGTAATTTTCATAACTTTGTGGATCGATGTAAAATATGTTTCCTTACTGTTGAACCATGAATCAAATGTAACCCCAGTCACACCATCAAAAGAAAATTCATGAATGGAACTGATAAGTAAATCTCTATGTTATACTTGCAAATAATCTGATCATGAATTTCGTTAAAATAAACTGATTCTCTACATATGAGCTTCTATGATTCTTATTTGTGGTTATTCGAATTATTTTTCCATACGCTTCATGAATACTTTTGACTACTCAGAAGAAATATTATTTGTACCTCGACTCGTCCTACTGCAGTTAGTAGAAAGGTAATCAGAGATCAAGTACGTTGCATATTCTTTTATTATTAAATAAATCCGATTTTATTGTTAATTTAATAAAGATAGTGTAGAGAACGAGAATACAAATAGAGACAATCGAATGCGACCATACAGAAAATCTTACTAAAATCTGAGAACCATACAGTAAATACCTTATTTGCAAAATTACAGACTTCATTGTTCTTTTGTTTCCACAACAACCGTTCTTTGGTCGTGTTCTGGTTCCTTCCATCTTCTTAACCTTCTACTGCCAGGCATTTCACTATTAATGATACATACTACTTATATTTGTCGACATCAGTAGCACACATCACAATAGGAAAAACCGAAATATGGATTTTATAAAAAATAAGCCACTTTTTACACTAGTAACTAATTTTTTTCATCCTGTCGATCATGTACAGATTTGTAATGATGGATTAACTGAAAACATATTAAATCAATTTGAATTAGTTGAAAATGTTGCTAATGTTCTAGTAGTATGGAAGACTGATGCAATTAATAATTGAGTTTCATTATCTTATGTAAACACCACATTGTTTATCATTTCAAATAATAAACATTTCACCATGTTTTCTAATAGGAATAAATAAAAATTGCTTCGATAATTTGAAGCATTCGTCAAACATATTCTAATGATCTACTTATTTTGAGTATTGAAGTTTTAAGTAATAAATAGTTATACTACATCATATTGTGATGCGTGCTACTTATATTGATATAAGTAGTATATGACGCGAGTTAAAAACAATGTCTGGCAGCAGAAGATGGAGAAGATCAAAAAAGAAAGAGCGGAAACACAGCGCAATTTGTAAGAAAACGCATGAACAATGAAATGTGAGACAATAGTTTGATGATTACAACAGGAACAGTCCGGTTTGATATGATGGATTGATACTTTGCAAATTAACGATTTACTATATGGTTGTTCTAATTTATGAAGTAACTCTGTAATCTTGTGCGAAATACAATTCGATTGTCCCCACCTGTGTTCTGTTCACTACAATATCTGTACAACATGTTACCAGGTGAAATGTTTACATTTAATGAAGTTTACTGAAATGGTCTTATGACCATTTAAGAAATTCATAGTAACTAGTTAAATCTGGAAGTATATTAAGACAAAAATTATTTAATTGAATTATTTATGAATTCATTGTTGTATATAGGAGATTATTATTTATTGCAAGTGATTATGACAGTAATTTGTAAGAAAGTGACCATTAAATTTTTAATGAGCCATCTTATAGCAATTGTAAACTAATCATTCAAAGATGCAAATACAACGGTTTTCTATAAAAATAAAAATAAACATAGAGATAAGAGATAATGAAGGTGTAATAAAGTTACTTACTTGCATTCATATGATGTTAATGTGTGTTTAATGATAGAATAATATTCATTAGGACTAGATAATAATCGACTAGATTGATTATGTAATGCTAGTACAACTTCTTTAATTGTTTCATTTCTATGAACTGCACATTGTTCAGCTAATTTCTCTTGTTGTTTTAAACATCTATACTGATGTTCACGTAAAACTAAAATAGAAATATTGTAGTAAATGTAATTTACTAAATAAGCGTTGAATAAAAAAACGGTATATTCATACAGCTTAAATAAGTTTGATTTGAAAAGAAAAAAACTTTCATTAAAACTAAACAATTTATTATAAGCAATAATGAATTCCTTAATAACCCTTAAGTATTTTAAGCAAGCCAGTGGTTTTATTTCATTAACTTTTAAATAAAGCGTCTTTCTTTAAACATCAATATTAAAATGTAGGTACTTGAAATTGATGGGTTATATATAGGAAGAAATATTTGTACTATACAACTCTACTAGGGATAATTTAGATGCGTCAAACTAGTATATATGACTGACTATAAATACAATGAGACAGATTTTATTTGAAGAAAAAATTAAACAAACACAAAAGGTCAGAGTACAGCTTTTGAAGAAGCTTTAGGTAATTATAAAAATTAAATGTTTTTACTTTCAAAAACTTTTTTAAACAAATGACACTATTCATTTGGAATTTTCTTATTGATGCTTAGGACTGCAAATTAACAGTCTCTTACTGGCATATGTGCATATTGTGCAGATCGCCTCCATATTACCATAATTCACAAGCATTATATGTGAAGATGGATAGTGGCTAGCAGTGGAATCCAGGACGCGCGTTTCGTTGTATTTGGAACTCGCCAGCTGGATGTACCTCTTCTGGTAATAACTTAGTTGTTCATACTAACTGTAAATATCCTAATAATTCAACTGCAACTTCAGTCGGTTCCACTGTATGAAGAAGACGACTTAAATTTATCATAAATACTAGTAGTTTTATTGTTAAGTACTATTATCTTTTTGTTTAAAGTGCTTCATGTGTTAAGTGACATTATTTTGTAGTTAAAATACTTAGTTAAGTTCTATATCTGAAGATTTCCTTAAGAGAATGAATTTATCTTCATATTAAACGTCAACATATAATTTATACTTATTTTTAAGTTTATTATTAACTTTATTGACGAATATAGAAAGTGAATACAAAAACTACATGTAGTGATCAACGAATCATTATCTAAGATGCGATACCATCAATATAACATCGAGCCAATCAAAATTGAATAGGTACAATTACTGCGAAATTAAATTCCTTAAACATAGTTAAAAATGATAACTGTTTAGTATATTTTAGTCCATCATATTTAATCTTCAGAACCTTGGATAATATTTAGAATAAATGTTATGTACTATACCAAGCAGTTAGTGTGATAGTGAGAAACTCGGACGACATAGTGACATATTTGTTTGATTTGGATTAACAATAAAAACAACCTTGTGCCAAGTTCAATCTGCTTCATAATTTTAAACATCAAATTTTTATTTTTTTTTTCAACTAACGAAGAATTTAAAGCTTAGGTTTACTTAAATCAATAAAACTGTCTTATTTGTTACGCAATCTCAAAATTATATCAGGAAACAATTTTGGCACTTTATTTATTATTTACTAAAGTTTAACGTTCAAACTGAATTAAATTCAGCACATCCAAGGATATTCTTTAGCATATTTCCAAGAATTATGTAAGTATTACTTTAAATTTTGACTGATCATTGATGTACAATTATAGGTTGTTAATTATAGGAACAAACTATCTGAATTGTTGCATTGTGCAAAGCACTCAGCAACTAAATGAAAACATGGTTATTCAGATTTTTCAGTGGATAAAATTGTGCTTGGTTTACATTATTTGGCAATAGCATATTAGTGTTTCACTTCAGTAATTAATCACAAAATAAGCACAATTTTGATATTGACATTGTTTGCAGTGTTGTTTTCAATTTAAAGTCAGCATTTCAGTGGCTTGAAAATGAAGTTTCCCATATTTAGTATAAGATAGAAACAGGTGTTAAAATAACATGACCACACTCTAAATCCTAAATAAAATTCACAGAAACGTAATCATTTCATGTTATTAAATCATTTTATGATTCATTTGAGTATATTGGACATTGTGAATAGTGTAGTAAGTTTCATAATACAACTTACTTCTCAAATTATGTTCATGACATATATATCCAGCAGCTCTCTCAAATTTTCTTGTATCTAGAGAAATGGACCATATAATTTGTCGAAATTTCTCTTCATCGGAATGATTACATGATTCCTCTGCTCTTTTCCTCATACAGTGAAATACCAATATGTGCCATCGAGTACTAAAAATATTGATATATATATATATAACAGAATACTTAATGTGTAAATAAAGTTGTAAACTAAAAAGAACAGAAATATTATTGTAATCGAAATTCGGTCAAGGATATCCAGTCTTGAACATACTAAATTATTGTTACATTAATGATGTCTCATCGTTTACTAAAGCTAAAGTGAAACAGGCACCTTGTGCTATTTATGAAAATCTATAATATTACATATTTGTATGTGTTTGAGTGTCTTCGTTGATATGAAAGACTAAATGTTGGTAAACCACTTTTGCAATATTTGAGCCTGCGGGATTCGCCTTGATGTCGTCACTAGTTCGCGGTTATTTTCGGAAGGATGAGTAATGGGTAGCGTTAGAGTTCAGGATGCCAGTCTCGTTCCATTTAGAACTATCCATTTGAATATGCCTGTATTTTACATTTGGTGTTCACTCTGACGTTTAAATCCATTACTTTTGGTTTTCAAGCTAAGTCACTATCTTCGATAAATAATAAACGTTATCTCTGTTGCATAGGCTAGTAGCTACACGGACTCATTATCCGATTGGAGCGTTTAAAGCCAAAAGTAATGGGTTCGAATACTGGTGTGGATATAAACTCCAGGACGAGTACAAAATAGGACGACAAGAGCATTCTGGTTTTTATTGTTATTCATTATCTATTTTAACTTAAATCTTTAGTAAGAGAATGAAGCCATCAATAGTTCTAAAGCAATATTTTTCATATTTTATGCATTTCCATTACTCGTTTTTGTCAACTAAAATAGCATACATGCTTATGAAATTAAAGTGTAAAACTTTTATTTTCTAACGTATCCATACATTTTAAAGAAAAGAAAATAGCTTTCTCTTTATTTTCTTTTAGCTTAATCTATTAACATAAGTTAATCTTTTTCTGTACCTGCTTCATATATGTATAAATGTATGAATTTCTTTTAAATTACTCTTAAGAATACATCAAAGTAACATCCTGGTATAAAAAAATCTAGACGTTTTCATAAATCTGCTAACTGAATCAATCAAGATATCATCTCCATTTTATCAACATTGAAATTATTCAATTGTCTAATTCAATGAGTCCCTTTGATAAATTTCGGTAGTGTAATAAGAAGATGAAGATGATCAGAACTAATATGATATAACAGAGCAATATATTTCGAACAATCTGGTCACACATATTGTACTTCTTAAGAACATTTAAGCATAGAAATAAAAGGTCAACTAGACTAGAAATGGAGGGTAAGAGGAGAAAACAATTTAAGACCTAATCATTCTGGATAATAAGCTTTTATTTTTATATATAAATGATCTTAACAATTGCATTGTCTATGATTAGATTATTCAAAATGTACTGTGCTAATATATCACATAGTTCTTCTTATTCATTTATTATTTATATATGAAATATCTTCTGTTAAACCTCATGTGTGATCAGATTGTTCGAAATATATTGCTCTGTTATATCATATTAGTTCTGATCATCTTCATCTTCTTATTACACTATCGAAATTTATCAAAGGGACTCATTGAATTAGATAAGTGAATAATTTCAATGTTGATAAAATGGATGTCTTAATTGATTGATGGTTGCGCGATTTCGTGGATTGGTTGATGTTAGACACTATCACCACTGGATGCCGACTCAGTGGTCCACTAGGTTAAGCGTTTGTGCGTGAGACCGAAGGCCCTGGGTTCGAATCTCGCGAGCGGGATCGTGGATGCGCACTGTTGAGGAGTCCCACAATAGGACGAGACAACCATCCAGTGATTCCAGGTTTCCAAAGGTGGTCTAACATCAATAGGTTCATGAACTCAATGAAAAACTTAATTGATTCAGTTAGCAGATTTATGAAAACGTCTAGATTTTTTTATACCAGGATGTTACTTTGATGTATTCTTAAGAGTAATTTGAAAGAAATTCATATATTTTGTATCATATTTTATCAAGAATATTTGATCGAAATATATTTAATTGAAATCTTGCAAAACAATTTACAAATCTTATATATAAAAGAAAGGAAAAAAATAAAAAAAATTGATAATTACCGGCACATATATTCTGTATCATTTAATGAACCATAACCAAAACTGTAACCAGATAATTGACTTGTTGGTATATGAACTTTATGCTTTCTAGAACAATAATCTAATTCATGTTCTAAATTAAAGCATTGTTTACGAGCAATTATTAGATATTGTATTAAAAAAATATTAATCACTCCTGGTTTAAGAGAAACGAAAAAAAGAAAAAAAAAGGGAAAAAGAAAATTAAGATAAAATCCATGAAAAAATAAACAGAATAAATCTAAAATGTTTAATTATCTAAGTGTTAAATAATAACAAAACTTAAATTCACTTGATGTTGTTTAACTTGTATCTTCACATTGTTATTTAGGACTACAATTGATCAGTCTCATGTTGGCATATGTGCATCCTGTGCGGATTGCCTCGATATAGCCTTAAGTCACAAGAATCATTAGCAAAGTTGGATAGTGGATAGCAGTGGAATCCAAGACGCGCATTTTGTCCTATTTGGGACTTGTTAGTTGGATGTACCGGCACTCACTCCTAGACTCAAATCCATTACCATTCGCTTCAAACAACACTACGTTATCCACTTAGCTATTGAGTCCTGAAATCTTTTGTTTGTGACTGATCAATTGCAGTCTTAAATAACAACGGGAAGATACAAGTAAAACAACATCAAGTGAATTTAAACTTCACCCGATTGCACAAGCAGGTGGCTATCAGGACTCAGTATCTAAGTGGATAACGTGATGGTGTTTGAAGCAAACGGTACTGGGTTCGAGTCTCGGAGTGAACATGAACTCTAGGATACATGTACATCCAGATGACGAGTCTCAAATAGGATTCCATCGCTAGCCATTATCCATCTTCGCTTAAAAATACTAAGATGTTTAAAAATTTCTTGAAAAAAGCAACACTCACTACTACTAATTAATTCTAATAATAATTAAAATAGGTGTTATTGAAAAAAACCCTGGTACATATAGTGTATACAATGAATGTTGCGGGAGGAAAATAATTTAAAAAATGGGAAATAAGTAATTGTTATTTTTACTTCTATTGTTTACTAGGTGATATTGTTCATCTAAAGAAATAATAATCATTTTAATTCATATATGAATAGACTTTCGATATAGGTACTTATTCGACGTAGACTTATGATAATGGTTCAATTAAGAATGAACGTGCTAAAACGTTGGTTACTTTAGATGATCAGAATATAAGTATTTGACTAACGATAATTATTAGTTACTAATTACTCGGATATTTTTGTTATTTTCATGTGAATATCCGTTTTCTAGATGGTTTCAAAATCGTTATGAAGTATTTGTACAATGCCGTTTATTTAAAGGTAGAACTTAATAGCAATGGTCAACTGAATATTTGTATATAAATTCAAATATGACAAGTATTTATCAACAAAATTCATTACATATGTGAGATAGGCGGTGTCAATGTCATTGGTAAATGGAACATTAAGTACAAAATAATAGTATTAGACTCTTCAAGCAACCAACTGTGTTGATTTCTTCGTAGCCTTTTAATGGGATTTGTTTGCTTGCATAGGTAACTAATTATTAAATTTTAAAACTTCTAGAAAAAATTTTCAAATCTGTTGAAAACGTTTTTGTGACCTGGGATATATATATAAATATATATATGTTGCTAATCCTCGTATATAATTATCGACTTAATCCTTGTTGGTGAATAACGGAATCAAAAAAGTCAAATACGAGAATGGATTTCGAATACCTTTGATTTGTACAATCGCTGATCGAAACAGACAATCAGAGAATCGCAGAGAAGGAAGCAAAGAAGGAGATAGCGAAACGAAATGGTGCACGGTGGAGAAAGTGTGTAAACCGACTCCATTTAACCAGGAGTTCAACAATATTTATAGTCGCACAAAAATAAACTACGGACATGTGATGAGTAGGAAAAGACATGCCCACACATACGCTCATATAAGAAAAAACAGTCAGGGCAGGTAAGTGAATAATTAACAAGTTTAAAACGTGACTCAAGAAAAATGGATGAATTGGCCTGTCCAGAAGCTAGAATAAGTTAAATCGGCTTAACAGAGTATCCGATACTACAACCTCTTAGGGACTTGGAAAAAGTCATGGTTATTAAATTTATGAATAGAAAAATACAATTTAGAACTGGTAATAGTGGTGTGCTTCGACTTCGAAATCTAGATATATATGCAGGTATATATTTATATTTGGCGCCCTTAAAAGAAAAGTTTCAGTCAGTTGATGATACTATCATCATTTTGCAGAGATCAACAAAAACGTCTATGGATCTGCGCTTATAGTCTAGCCTTTAGCTTTGATTGGCTACAGCATTACCTAGAATGTAACGTTGAAGTACCATTTATTATATTGCGCCGATATTTGTTTCACCATACGAATAGCCATCTTTAAATTACTTACTTGATTTATGTTTAATTTGTTTAATCTAGTTGTCATTTTTTAGCAAGATTGTTTTCTACGGGATGGGGTCACCAACCCCACATCCTACCTTCCTTCTTTGTGTGGACTTGGGACCGTCAGTAACTCTACAAGAGCAACAGGCGGATTTCCATCTTTAAATGCTTAAATGCATTTAAGAAAACAGTGAACCTGTCAGTCCCATTAAAATTCGTTATTTATAATGGTAGATAATGAAGTTGTATATATATATATATATATATTGATGTTATGCAGGTTAATAACTATCTTTCTATCATCATAATAATAGCAGTAAAAAACATCAATTTCTTGAAATTACTTCTTCTCTAGGTCAGTTGTCTTTTGAAAACTTCACAATAATAATAAACTTAAGGATTTACCTCGTTCTAGTCATTCTAAAACACTTAATTTTCGGTGTAACTGATGAATTACCAACAGCTGTGACTAGATATGACTTCATGTTATCACTGAATGACTTCATTTTAATCAAATTTAACAAATCAAAATTAAACTATACTATCATTACATTGATCTTTTAATAAAAGAGATGATGGAGATTTAGAGCTCAGGTGGATGATTTTGGTAGTTTGTTCTCTGAGCTATTATTATTATTATTATCATTATTATTCCATTCCATTTTTTCTTATAAACTACTTTTCATTAACAAGTCTATAGTGTATTTTACTAAACATATTTAAATTTGTACAGGTTTTATACCTATATAACTATTAACAATGAAATCAATCATTCGTTAAACAATCTACAAGGCAATCAAATAAACAATAATTTATGATCAAATTAAAGATAGAAAACAAATTCCATTTCATTCACTGGATAAATTCAATTTTCATGATTAGCAAGGATTCTAATTGACAAGTCATGGTTAAATATTTTCGGTCACTTGGTAGTTTCTTAAAGGAAAATTGTAATATGCATATGTTTTCATAGAATGATGTAATATTACTTAAATAATAATAAAGAATAATTGAATAAATCATATCCTGAGGCAACTATATATATATTATTTAATAATGATCTATCAGATATTTATTCTAGTTCATGGTTAACAAAGGGATAAATAATAAATTTAAACAATTCTGAATCATATACCTAATAGAACTTTTGGATGTTAACGAAATAAATAACAAGAAGCCCATCCAATCAATAGATTACACTATAAAGAATCTAAATTAGACAATTCGGATTTTTCTTTAAAGAGTAGTAAAAGATTTTGATTTGTTAACTTCAAATTCATTAACTAGAAAATTAACGTAAAATAAACCATTTTTTCATAAATGTTTTCCGAATTAAAAAAAATTTGATATACTACTTTATTGAGAAGTAATTAAAATTGTAATATGTCAATCAAGTATTGTTGTTTGTTATATAAAATCAAAGGAAAAGAACAAACAAGATCTCAGCGGAGGAAGAAATTAGGAAGAAACGCTGGAAAAGGATAGGACACACACACATATTGAGGAAAGCACCCAACTGCATCACAAGACAAGCCCTCACATAGAATCCTCAAGGCCGAAGGAAAAGAGGAAGACCAAAGAACACATTACGCCGGGAAATGGAGATAGACATGAGAAAAATGAACAAGAATTGGATGGAATTAGAAAAGAAGGCTCATGACAGAGTGGGTTGGAGAATGCTGTTCGGTGGTCTATGCTCCATTAGGAGTAACAGGCGTAAGTAAGTAAGAATATAAAATCAAATGGTTATCGTTGGGGTTGACTAATATGAAGTGTTAAACTGAATCAGTTTATAAGCGCAATGAAATTGTGAAATAAATGATCAGAATAAATATGATCAACATGGGGTGAAAGAGAGAGAATAATGGAATAAACCATATAGCTCGGAGAACAAAACTCCATCAAAATCATCTGCCTGAGCTAAAATCTCCACCGTCTCAAAAATCAGAAATTACATAATATGTAGAATAATATGAATTAGGTCAGATATAATATAGATAGGGATGGATGTTGGATAAATTCATCAAAAATGTTATCAAGTGTAATAATAATAACAATGATAAAGATAATAATAAAAATAAGATAAGCCACCTCTTTCTGTATCTATCAATTCAAATGCTCCTGTGGAGCAAATTATATTGGCAGAAGTTCTAGGAATTCGTACATCCGGGCTCGTGAACACCTCCCAGTGTGATTAAGCAAAGGTGTAGTCAAAACGGTTAAGAGCTTCATTTTAACCCATTTAATTCAGATGGGACATACGGCAAACATGGAGTGATCTTTCGCAATATTATATCATGGTAACAGCAGTCTACCTAGTTCCGTCAGACTAAGAATCCAGCGAATGGCTGAAGCAATTGCTATTTGGATCAAAACGCCAACTTCGAAGTCATCCTTTGAATAATGTCCACATATTTTTTATATATTTGTGATATTATTATAATACAGTAGTTTACCTTCAATGTAATATTAATTGTCTGAAACTATTCATCAATTACAATACCTAATTCATTTTTAAATAAATGAGTTATCATACTTCTAGGTATCAGGAAATGACAACTATCTCTTTATGTTTTTAACTAACTAGATCCTTGATTCACTTAAAAGTGTACTAATGCGAAATAATTTATGTCGAATACATAAAGATGTATATTTCAGACATGACATTTGAAAATCCGCTACATGTTGAAATTACGTAGTTCTAGTAGAATATTTAAACAAATTCACATAGATTTAAAATTCTGATAAATATATAATTTAGTTAA